CTTTTGAAACAATGCTTTAAAAAATAATTCCACAATACTAATTATGACTTAGGAATACAAGACAAAAGCAAAACAAACTTAAACCCATCTTGAAAACTGTTGTAGAGGAACAGAAGTTTATCCAAAAATATCCTTGTGCAAAAAAACCATATTTTTCATGTACATGAATTTATTAGCAGACAGAAGCCATTTAAAGATCCATATTTGTTTTTTGTTTTAATTTACCAGTATCCAAATAATATATATTTGTATCATCACTATATAATCATATGATAATACTAAATGAATATGCAAACTTTATCACTATTAGGAGAAATTACTATCTGATTAGCTGTACAAGACTCAAGTTTATCATCAAATTAAATGTTTGTTTTAAGAATTCGATCAAATGCAATGCTAACTTCTTAAAAGAGAAAAATCTCGGTTCCATTCTAAAAGTAATTTGAATAACCCATTTTCAGTGGTCTGAAGTTCTACAAACATAGTAACTAAATCATAACCAATTTTCGCTTTCCTCTCAGCCCTAACAAGTCTCAGACAGAAAATCCTTTTGATCCCAGTTAATTTATAAGCCTTCATATTAGTTATAATTAAAAAGTTGATTAAAAATTTAAAAATCAGAAAATCAGAGACTAGTATGTGAAATAAAAATCTAACATATATTTATATATAAAATACACGTATATTTATATATAAATTCTTGCTGGCATTCCTAATAATTTATAAAATTTAGTTTAAGGGGAAACATTCAGAAGCCAGAAGTTTAAAAGGTAAAATAAATAAAAGTGCTAACAATATTGTTTCAAGACCCAACTGACAACCTAACTTTGTAACCAAAATAATTCAATGCTTATATAATCTCCCATATACTCAAATAAGGAGACTCTAGAAAGCATTTAAAAATGTGGAATTAGCTGTAAAAGTGAAATAGCTTCACATATCATTTTGTGCCTTCCATGCTTCTGTATAATGACTATAATACAAAATAACTACGCAAGAAACTCATGGATTCTAGGTTTGGTTTTAGGAACACTATTTTCTCTCCCCTACTTCTCATGAAGTAATAAAAACATTACATTGAATGTACACAGTTAAGATAAAATTTGAGGTTTAAATCTTTAATCTTATTTCTAATTTAATAGCTTAATAAAAATTTATGGACAAGAAAAGCCTATTTATTTCTAAATCTGTCTTTTGAAAATCAAATATGTTCAATGACAGGAAGAAATAATTTCATTTCTACTTTTGCATAGATGCATCAACCTATCTCAAATCTGTGGTTCTTAATACACAGAAGATTAAAATCTATGTATTTTAGGGACACAAAAGTGACCTCCATTATTAAGTCTTTTAAACATCTTCATCAAATACCTTTTATAGTTAATGACTCATTTGCTCTCGCATAAGTTTTTATTAATCCATCAAAAGAATAATTTGTCACTATTCAAGTGGAGTTTACCTATTAAGTATTTGTCATTTATTTATCAAGCATTTAATGGGTATTAAATGTGGAAAGAAATACAGTACCACAAATATGACCCATAAATATATCCAAAAAAAAATCCCTCTCAAAACAGATAAATGTCTACATAGATCTCAAAATTCCAAGTTGAATTTTCAATTTGGCCTTTAACATTTAAGTCACATATTTAATTCCATAAAGGATTGTGTTTTTAAAAAGAAAATGCTCACATAATTTTTTACTAAATTTCAAAAGCAGGTGGGCAAAAGGGAAGCATTATTAAAAAATAATTACCATATGATACTATAAACCAGCTTTATCTTTCTCTTTATGACCTTGATAATTTTCATATAACCCACATCTAATGGAAATAGTTTAATCATTTTAGATTAAGTCATACAACAACTTTACGCCCTTATATTCTAGAGATAATTATATACAAAATCAGGATTATGTACAATTTCCGAGGGAATAAAAATCAGTTTTATGGGTCATATTTACCAATTATGACCTTCAGCTCAACATACACATATCTGTATATGTATACTGTGTATTATTAAATGATACTATTGTCTTAATATTTTATATAGAAAGGCTTTTACCATCAGCTATTATTCACCAAATATGTAATGAAACAAAGTATGATTCTGATCATACTTTTTATATGTAAGAGGAAAACTTGAGGCAAAAAATGCTAAATTATTTGCCAAAGCCCTAAAAAACACAGGCACAGCATATCTACACTAATAACCATTTACTGATAAACAGCATGCAATTTCCCAATGATATAAAAATTATACACTTAAATTCACATATAAACATGTATAAGTAAGTGAAAAAGCAAGAAAAATATTTAAGAAGGAATTTTCTGTACAGCCTGAATTACATAGAGAAGTGTGGTTTCAAACTCAAAGCTACTAAAGAGCTATTTCTAGTGAGTTACAGATATCAGTTCAAGGAAACTTGAGAAAATACACACACCATATTCAAGAAAAGATCATTATGACCCAAGAAGTCCATTTCATAGAATCTAATACACTTATATAATGAGTATGATGTATCTCTGACCACCCATTGACATATATCATTATAGAAAGTTAGGCCTTGTTTAAAGTATCTTAAAGTTATAAAATATATGTACAGTTAAGATACATTATAATTATAAAAATTCCACTTTAAATCAATTAAAATGCTTAAACTGAATATATATATACACACATATATTTGTGTGTGTATATATATATATATATATGTATCTTTTTAAGAAAGATCATATTACAACCATAAAACCTTTTATGGTATTGCTTTATATCCAGCTAAACTTGTACTCAAGGGCCGGGGATTTAGCTCAGTGGTGCCGCTGCCTGCCTCGCAAGCACAAGGTCCCAAGTTCAGTCCCCAGAACCAAAAAAAAAACAACAAAAATGTGTACTCAAAAATATTAATTAAAACATTTACTTTCCTCTTCATTACCTCTTCAAAATCTTGGCAGAAAATTGATGATGTTAACTGCTTAACAAGGCAAAAATCAAGGAAGGAAGGAAACTTTGTATATCATCAATTCTAAAGTAATAAACCATCATTTCCTTCCAGAAGATTTTCACAAAATTCCAGATACCGGCATGTTATATTAATGCAATCTTATAGTAGCAACTAATGAAATAAACAAAAGGCTAATATTACTCAAAAAATATTATCAAGGTTAGAACATAGTAGCTACTTCTTTTCAATACAACTAAAATATGAGATTAGCTGGAAATGCCCTCATATAAATTTTTAAAATAAAAGTATTATTCATTTTCCTAAGTTATGTCAAATACACCCTCAAAAACCTATTAAAATGTTTATATCCTCCTACAGGGAAAAGCCCTGAATCATCCAGTATTTCTTAAAAAATAATGTTTCAAGCAATTAAAAAGTTCACCGGATCTCTAAGTTTTTAACTACCGTTTCAAATTAATCATACTCCTCAACCTCGTCCCCAACCCCAGTGGCATTATCCTGAATTAAATATTTATTACATGACTTATTTTTTTATTTACATTTGCAGTTTTATGTACTCCGTTATATTATGCTTATGCTTGTGATTTCATTTTCACACACTTAAAAAAAATTATATTGTGATTAGAATTATTCATGTGCATCTGTCTTGAGAACTTGGAACAATACTACCCTAAATTTAACTTAATCTATAGGGTAGCTCCCACAGTATTCTACATTAATTATGTTAAAAAGACATTACCCAGAAATTTTAAAACTTCTGAATTTTGTTGAAGCACTTTGATTTTTTGTTTGTTTGGTTTTGTGGTTTATTTTTTTTTTTTTGCTGTATTTTTAATTTTCTTCCTAAATCAATAATAGTATTTTTAAAACCTAATAAATTTAAAATTGCATGCCTTTATTAAATGAAGAAAAACAAATTTTTTGTTTTGCAGTATTGGGGGCTGAACCCATGGCCTTCACCTTCTGACTGAGCTACACTCCCAGCCATTTATATTTTGAGATAAGGCCTCACTAAATTACCCAGGCTGAGATAGAAATCAGAATGGACCTCCCAGAATGCTGCTGGAATTATAGGCTTATACCACTGTGCCCAGCTAAAAATCATATATTCTTAATGACTGAAATAAATGACATTATTTAAAAACATTTATAATCATATAACACAAAAGTATTTTATCAACGTAAATTTACTGTTTTAAATGTTTAATTTTTGTGTCCTCAGTTACTTTAATAGGACTTTACCAAAAGATAATTTTGGAATGACTAAACTATAAGCACCTTTGCCACTGTCCTTTGAAAAGACTGATGGCTCTTTCAAATGAGGTCTGATGATAACCACTCACTTCCCATCTCACCCAGCACTTGGCATGATCTCTTCATTTCAGCAAAGGAGTTGAAACTCCCTGGGCTCTCAAGAATATCTACTATGCAACAGCAGCTGAGATTCCTCATTAGCGTTATATTTAATTTTTTTTTTTTAAAAGTACCAAAACAAAACAAAGAAACAAAGAAGAAAACAAAACAACAACAAAATCTATCTAGGCCATCTTTTCACCTTTCTTTATTTCATAAGAGAGAAGCATTTAACACATTCATTTGATAAGCAATAAGAAAGTGCTATAGAAGCTCCTGCCAATAAAATCTGCCTTATCAATGCTGATAAACTTCAACTTTTATAATAAACTAACAGAGCTTAGCAATTATGGTTTTATGAGATAAAACAATAATCTTAGCACAAAATTTTTAAATGAAATTATTTTTGTGGCCTCTATATACAAAGCATTGTCAACTTCTCTTGTCAAGAGAAAATTCTATTGTGCTCAAAATCCAGATTATCATTCTTATTCACATCTAAATCCAGAGTATGTGTCAGGTTAATAAATGAGTAATATCTGTTTCCAAAGTATTGTTACCACTAAATAAGATTTATGAAGGAGCCTATCCTGTATTTTTTTTTTTCATTTTATCTGTGATGAGAAAAGAACGAACAAGGGACTTGAATCCCCTGAAGACAAAGTCTCAGCATCCAACTAACCTGACAAGATTTTCATTGTCTCCAGTTCCTTTGCATGTTGCACATTCAGTTCTTAAATCTTCAGCCTTGGGCTTCTTTTGTAACACAGACTGTCTTTGTCTTCTTTCTCTAGGAACTCTTTCCTGCCATGTAAGGGAGAATAAAATAAAATGAAATTAGAATCTGAGGGAAAAAAATAATTTAAGCAAAAAAATTTGTCAAAGTTTAGACTGTAAAAAGTGCTTAACTTATTCCAACCTCATGTTTTTCTTCCTCAGGAATGAAACTTCGTTTCCGTCCTCTGGTTCTCTAAAAGAAAAGAAAATCCACAAAAATATCTAATGTGTAAATAATAATAAAAATAAATGTTACTACTTAAGTTACACTTGGAAAATTATTATTTCTAATTTGTTACACCACGCCATTGCATTTTGTTACAAACTGTGTTATACACAAGAAAAGCATAACAAAATAAACTTTAAAGTGTTTTACTTTTAAATGCATATTTGATAAGAGTAAATTATCCCTACTTAAGATACTTAAGATTTTTTTCAATATTTCATATTTACCACATAATCATGATTTACTCAGTGCATTTAAATTTTCATGACTTATCTCATGACTTAAACAGCTAAAACACTAATAAACTGAGTCTATAACATCTACTGTTTGCTCACACCTGTGAATGTACTTGCTTTTGCAATGTAAAGAAACAATTCTTTCATGAAAAAAAAAAAGAAACAAGTCTTAAGTAACCATTAAAAGGAGGAGGAAACAAACTCACAAGTCCTCAAATCCTAGTTAAACTGCTGAAAAGAATTCAGTTACAATTTTACATCTCATATTTTAGAACATATTTGCCATTTGAAAAAAGGCATCCAAAATCTTCAACAATAGTGTTTAGTACAATAGCGCTTGCAGCAAATACATGTAAAACCTCCACCCACACAGTAGAGCCTCTGTAGATTTGTGATCTCCAAATGCAGACCACTGTTCTTCAGAGACTGGAAGAGACACCCTCAGAAGTTACTCTGACAGCTGAGATTTTAAAACACTCATACCCAAGTTACATTAGGTATCAAAAAATTCCAAATAGGATTATTTTCTAAAATATTTTCTTAAATTGCTATAATTTCAACTCTTCACAAAATAAATTCCATTGTTATTTAATAACATGACTAATCTCAAACTATTTAATCTGCCCCCTGGATAAAAACAAGTCAATTAAAGTCATTCTAAAAAAATAAACTTATAGGCTATGTACACATTTACAACTGTATTACCAATCAGCCTGTTTCAATTACGTTATGGAGTTAATTAGGAAGAAAATAAATAGGACTATATCCAGAAAAGATCTTTAAATGCAGGCTCTACACCTAATATCCTCACTCTCAGTAAGCCTTGCTTCTAATCAACTATGGCTCATAAGCACTGGCATCTGCTAAGCACCTGTTGGAAACTCAGAATCTCAAGCTTACTCCAATAAATTAAATTAGAATCCGCCTTTTAACAAGAATCCCAAGTAAGTCATATACACATTAAAAACACCATTGCAGAAGAGTCCTTAATATCAACAACATTTATGCAAGTTCTAACTGAATCTTTATTCTATATTCTTCTCTTTCCTTTCTGTGATGCTCTCATTATTCAATGCTTCAATTTCTGTCCCAGAAAAAAATTCATCTCAAAATTGGTAAGGACCATGTTCCATTCATTTTTCTATAACCAATTAAATTTAATCATATTTTATAAAGGCTCAAGAATTTTGTTTTAATAAAGTAAATTATACTGAAACTAATAAATGATTATACTATATAATACAAATGTTAAAAGATCTGACAAAAAGTTTTGATTATTTTTCCCTTTTCTGATGATTATCCACTTCCATAGAACTATTCTATAAGGTTTTAGAATAGTAAACTATACTATGAGGAAAAGATTAAAATGACTCATTTTAGTTCAATTTACTTCTAAACAGAATCTCTTGTTCAAAAGGCCTTCACACATTTCCACATTCTCTTAATTTAATCTATCTTTTAGGTAATGAAGTATCATCTAGTTTTGAATTGATTTTTCAAGTATTTATTTTAATGTTCCAAGTTCATATTTTCAATTCTTTTAATTACAAACAGAGCATCCCTTATCCAAAATGGTTGCAACCAGCAGTTTTTCAGATTTAAGTTTTAAGATTTCAGAATATCTGCATAGACTTTACCAGCTGAACATTTTTTATCTCAATTTAAAATATGCTGCAATCTGAAATGCTCCAAAATCTGAGGCTGCGTACTGATACTCAGAAAATTTCAGATTTCGAGGCACTTCTGATTTTTCTACTTGAGATCTTCAGCCTGTACTCACTACTTTTGAAAATATATTAACTCTTTAATGTTTAATATGATTCCATCAACTGGAACTCTACTTTTGTATGATGGGGCATAATGCCAATTGACATAGTTACATTTCCCTTTATATTCATAAACTATGTATATACTATATATACTTCATTAAAATATGTATATACTTTATTGTAATATTATTTTTTAAATGAAAAACTATATTTTAGTTACTGAAAAGTTATTTTAAGTTAAATGGATGTATTACTAAATGGTGGTGCCTGATATATTCATATAACAATTTAACAGAAACAACATAATTTCCAAGTGGAAAAACAAGGTTGTTAGATGACAATGAATTATTATCATCTCAGAAAAGAACACAGAAAAATGACTTACTTATATCACCTAACTGATAAGTGACAAAGGTAAACCTCAAATCCAAGTATCTGAATTCCAATTTAATTTTTTGCATGTTACATTAAAAATTAATAACTTATTCTCAGAGATTAGTAAAATGAGAAAGTAAATCTCTTACTTGATTACTTAAATAAACACAAACACTGTGATGCCCAGTGAAAATTTCTTACATTTCAAAACAAGTAAATTGAAGAATTATACCAGAGAAGAATCTCAAATTGGTACTGTGTTCTGCTTAATTTAGTAGCCCAAACGGCACAGTGATTAACATGATCCATTACCAAAGTAATACACAGCATATTTCCTTAGCATTTATGAAATTATTTTTAAAAAAGGATTTAAAATACCAAGTCTTCACAGCAAGAGAATGTTGACAACTATAGGTTTTTTCATAAAGTGGCAGCAACTATAAGTACAAAAGTTCTTAAGATAACAATAAAGTATTTTAGACATCATGTACCTGAATAAACCATAAAATTTAAGAGAAGCTTGTAAGAGGGAGAAATGATGCAAAAAAGCAAAAAGAAAGGTAAAAATTTTTGGCTCATCTCACAGATTATAGCTAAAGAGCTTGCCCCATCTCAGATGTACAGTACTAGTAACGCGGTGATCATTTCATGATATATGTTGATGTTGACATAAACTACATTAGAAACAAAGCAGTTGGATAGCAAAATTTTACTTTAGGATATAATATAGATACACTATCTACAAGTTCCAAATAATCAATTAAGGGTTCATTTATAAATTGTGCTTTGATTTTGAAAGCAATTATTAAATTATTAAAAGTAATTATTAAATTATTAAAAGTATATGTGCACCCATGTTCACAGCAGCACAATTTGTAATAGCTAACACTTGGAAGCAGCCCAAATGCCCATCAACTGGAGACTGGATAAAGAAAATGTGGTTTTTTTATAAAATGGAGTACTAGTCAGCCATCAAAAATGA